TTTTGTAACTTGTGTCTGCAGAGCTTCTAGCCTGTCACTGTTTTTAGAGTGACAGGGGGAAGGGAGCAGGAGTTCAGTCTGGGTTTTTTCAGCTCCCCTGAAAGATAGAACAGGGGCATTGGAGCCCTTCGAGGTAGGGGGACTCCAATTCACCCATCCCACCCTTCAGCACTGGCTGAGAAGCTCCAAGAACAAGCTCCTTCCACTGCCTTTCTCCCCTCCCAAACCTGGCTTCAGGCTCCCAGCCCCAGCTAAATTCCCCCTCACCTTGGAACCAGCAGTGAACTTCTGTTTGGTCTGGGGTAATGTTCTAACCCACAGCACTTTGCAGAAATTGTTCTGAGTTACAGCTGGGAACTGCACATCTGTCTGCACCTGAAAAGAAGCAACTTATCCAAAGCCATGTGATAAGTCGGTGCCATAAGCATGATCTGAATACAGGCTCCTCCTGTTAACAACAGAGCACTCAAAAGTTGGAAGAGAGCTTCCACACACAATCAAAGAGCTGAGATGTACACTGGGGTAAGAAAAATGGTTTAAAAATGCTGTTTTTGTACCAATGTGCATAAATACAAATTGTTCTAGTGTAAGTATTTTTTTCTCTCTCTACTCACAGTCCCTGCTAAATTCAATATTCAAGAGTCAGAACTCTGGGCATTTTGAAGCAAAAGCATCTGAAGCATATAAGCAAACAGTGTGTCAAATTGAAAGCCAACAGATGTCTCCTCAGAGTGCCTCTTTTAATAAGGTTGCTTTGAAAATACTTACAAACTAAACAGAGCAGTCAATTTTCCAGAGTCTAGTCTCTTCAGTCTTAGCATGCCACAACTTTGTCCTTTATTTATTCTTTTAACACTTTGTTCTGAAAGATGTTCAGAGTGTCTTCAAGATTGACCCCACTTGGCCAAAATTCAGTTTCATTGTCCTCACGCTTCTTGATTCACAGCTACCCAACAAAAACTTCAGGTAAACAAAAAAAAGTTACACATTTGCAGCATACTGGTTCAGTTATATGTGCTGTGTTTGCACTCGTGAAGTGTTTCATGCTGTGTAGTACAATTTGTCCTTGCTGTAGAAATACTTTGGATAATGCAGGCTAAACCGCGAATCCCTTACTCGCTGTGGTGAGCAGGTAATTCCCCAGGTAAACTCTTGGCTCACCTGTGTTAAGGAAGGAGTGCTTGTCTAGCCCTTGGTTTACACATCATCCCTTTTCACAAATAAAAGTGGTTTGTACATTTCTTTTAAAAAGCTGAACTATGTAAAATGTAAAATTACTCTAAATTTTGATGCTCCATTTTGCAATAAAGTAAAAGCTTCAAATAAAAACTAAGATTCCATTGGATTGAAGTGTTTTGTATCTTAACATTATCCAGCTGAAACAGAGCTTGAATAGTGGCCAACTTTAGTGTTGTCTTTCATTAAGGATTTTTACCTTTAGACTGAAATCCAGGCTCCATGGAAGCCAATGGGAGTTTTCTGTACCTTAGAGCAGGTCTGTCACACTTACCTGTACCAGATCTGGACCATGGGACTCCTGCCAGGTTGGGCTGGAGGTGGCAGTGTGCTAGCAGGCCTCAGCCCTCATTCACTTTTCTGCCACCAGTAGCCCAGGGGCTCCAAATTCTGTGGTAGGCCATGCCATGGCCTGGATTTGGCCTGCAGAGTTGTACGTTTGGTACCCCGAGAGAAGGAAGTGACTTGCTTGCCTGCTGGTTTTGTTTTTAAACAGTATATTAGTTTAATGCCTATGAAAATTGCCAGCCCTTGAGACTGTGGCTCCTTCTCTACTGAACACATGGGACACAGCAAAACCCATCAGGTGTGGCTCAGTAGCTTTGCAAATTTAGGGTGAAAAATAAAGTCCAGCTTCCATGTTCACTGAGTTCATGGGCTAACGTATTGGAACAAGCAACAAAAGCACCAAATAGTGAAGTATGGAGCTATAGTCCTTTGAGCTGGAAACCCTTTCAGGAACTCAGCTTAAACCATTACGTGGAAATAGCTTTAAGATGCTCAGTGTTGAATTGAAAATTTAAATAACAAGGGTGCTTCAGTGTGGGGCTAGCCAGCAGATGGCCCCACTGAAGCACCCTTGTGCCCCAACCAGTTGGGCAGTTTGTGCTGCGCACAAAAAAATCCTCTGCAGGTTTATTAGTTTATTAGTTACATGTTCCCTAGTAGGGGCTCACATGTAGATGCGGAGAAGTTTAATGCAGATCCAGTTTGGCAGCTTTGCAGTAAACATCTTGTGTAGGTGCACCCAGTAACATGAATATGGTAATGAATGTTTTCAATCACTTTTGTGCTTGTCTGATGTGAAGATTGTGGGCACATATTTTAGCAGCTATCCTCCATAAGAACATCTGTGAGCTGAACTGACTCAGGGTAGGTTTTTTACATATTCAAACATACTGAAGACAAACATTTTGGCACTCTTTTTTTCTTTGCCAGTTTCAAGCACAAGGGACTCAACTGTTTCAGAAAGGCTTTATTTGAAGATTATAATCCACTCAAAGACAAAGGTTCTTAGTTGGTTCAAAGATGTTGCGGTCTTTCAAAGTAATGCTTGGAATGAAAATAAAGGCATTCACTATAGGCATCTGCATTTGCTTTGCAACACAGAAGAGCTTTCATGTGATAAACCAAGAACACTTGAAAGAGGAACACTGGTACCACTCAGGCATATTCACGTAAGCAATGCTGACTTTAGTGGTTCTAATGAGTCCAACTAACTATTTTAACACCTGTCTACTTGACACAGAGGTTAAAAAGAAAGTCAGCAGATGCTGGTAGATCTATGATAGAACTCATTGGTTTGACTTATGTCTTGAGTAAGGTAGGAGTCCCACAGATAAAAACAGTATGTGATCATTTCAATAAATACTGTAAGAAAGTGTAACTACATAACAAAGCTGAATAGAGATTGCATAAGGTGTTACAATATCTGGTATTTCTTAACTTTTGAATGCATGATTTTGCACCCTTAATACTTTTCATGTTGTTATTTTTGTGTGCAATAAATAAAACTGGTTGAATTTTATCTTTGCATTCCAAGAATGACTTTCTAACATTGCCAAAACATTCATTTTTTTCACAAAAAGTATTCTTTCATTATTGTTGCAAATATTGTTTTCCTAACTGAAAAAGTTACTGTTGCTAAAAAAGAGAAAAATGCACAGCTAATTTTTAAAAAATTAAATTGGTTCATCTTCATAAAAAGCTGGAAGGGGAAATGTGTTTTTTCACAGAATCATAGAAAACGAGGGGCCTCAGGAGGTCATCTAGTCCAACCACCTGCTCAAAGCAGAGCTATTCCCAACTAGATCATCCCAGCCAAGGCTTTGTCTAGCTGGGGTTTAAAGCCTCCAAGGATGGAGATTCCACAACCTCTCTGAGTAACCT